GGGGAAATACCCTCTAGCTGATGGTAGTGACAAAGAGTATGTGGCCCATCTTAAATTCACCAGTTGCCTTCACAGTTGCAACAGTGAGACTCTTAGCTTCTGAAGAGAAATGATAGAAACTAGAAGCCATTATAACAACATGTTTCAAGGGCTGGAATAAGAAAACTGCAAGCTTAGAATTCTAAACCAACAAAAATATTCTTAAAACAGAGAATTGGGCACCAGTAGGCCTGCACTGAAAAATTAAAGGAAGTTCATCAGGAAAATCATCCCAGATAGAAATGTGGACTTGGAAGAAAGAATGAAGAACACTGGGAAGCATATGTAAATGAATAGTAACTATACAAAATAATAATTGTACACCCTGAGGAGTTTCAATTTTATGTACCACGTATCTAAAATTCACAGTAACTATACCGTAAATGATGAGAAGGAAGCAAATGGAGTTTAAAAGTCCTAAGGCTTAATTGGTATCAGCCAAGTAGTAAAAGTAATAATTTACATTGGCTTTAATAAGTAAAAAAGCATGTTTTAAGCTTTAGGCTAACAACTAAAAATTATTTTAAAATGTCACTTAATAGAAGGAAAATGGAATCATGTAGAACATTTGATTAATCCAGAGGAAGTCAAAGAATGTAAAGGCACATAAAAGTAGAACACAAATAGTCAAATGGCAGATATAGACCCAAGCACATCAGTAGTTAAATGGAGAAGGACTGTGTAATTTAAGAATTAAACATGGGCTAGATTTTTAGCTACACTCTTGTCAGAGAAAGTAAACTTTAAAATAAGAAGCATTACTAGAGTTAAAGTGGAATATTTTATAATGATAAAAGGATCCATGGCAGGCTGAATAGCACCCCCCGCAAAGATACCCATGTTCTAATCCCTGGAACCTGTGAAAATTATATACATACACAATATGGAAAGAAGAGGACTTTGCAGATAAAATTGAGGATCTAGAGAGGGAGCAATTATCCTGGATTATCCAGGTGGATCCTAAAACCAATCACTTGTATTTTTATAAAGAAGGAGACAGTACTGTATTCAGTAAAGCATGAGATATTCAGCACTTCATTATAAAACAGGCTTTCTGCAAGATTTAATCCAGAAGAGGAGAAGGCCATGTGACACTAAAGACAGAGGTTGAGCTATGCAGCCACAAGCCAGGGAATGCCAGCAGCCACAAGAAACCAGAAGAGGGAAGTAGCAGATTCTCTAGATCCTCTGAAGGGAGCACAGCCCTACTGACATATTGACTTTGACTCAGTGATATTGATTTTGGACCTCTTGTTTTCAGAGCTAGGAAAGAATACATTTTTATTGTTTTAAACCACCAAGTATGTGTTAATTCATCACAGTAGCTATAGGAAAGTAATATAGATTTAATTCACAAGGTAGGTATGTTCCATAAACTGTATGTACTCAGTAACATAGTCTAAAATATATAAGGTAAACATTGACATACCTGGCAAAGAAAAAGACATATTGCCAATTGAAGTAAATTTGAATAAAATTATAATAGCTGAGAGCAGTTATTATTATAGCAGATCAAAAAATCACAATTACAAACCTGACCTAGTCGACATATAAGCACTGCATCCAACAGTGACAAAATTCATTCTTTTACATGCACAAGGAAGGAACATTTATCATTTGTAAACACTTAACATATGACTGAGCCATAAAAAGGGCCTCAACAAATTTCCAAAGATTGAAATTACTTAGCATGGATATTGACCAAAACAGATTAAGCCAGAAATCAGTACAATTATCATAGAAAAATAAATAGCTTTCATATATACAACAAAAAAAGAGAAGTTGTAAGAGAATATCAAAAGAAAATACCTTCGGCAAATTTTTTCATGTCTCCAAAATTTAAAACTCTTCTGAAGAATGCAAAACTAGGCTTGAACAAATGGAAGACTTAACCATGTTAAGTCTCAGCATCATATGTCAGTTCTTCTAAGTTAGTTTGTCATTTTAATGCAGTAACAATAAAAATGCTATGGTTTTCTGGTGTCAGGCAAGCTATTAATAATTGTAAGTTGCCAGGCGTGGTGGCTCAAGCTTGTAATCCCAGCACTTTGGGAGGCCAAGGCAGGTGGATCACGAGGTCAAGAGATCGAGACCATCCTGGTCAACATGGTGAAACCCTGTCTCTACTAAAAATATAAAAAATTAGCTGGGCATGGTGGCATGTGCCTGTAGTCCCAGCTACTCAGGAGGCTGAGGCAGGACAATTGCCTGAACCCAGGAGGCGGAGGTTGCGGTGAGCCAAGATCACGCCATGCACTCCAGCCTGGGTAACAAGAGTGAAACTCCATCTCAAAAAAAAAAAAATAATAATAATAATAATAATAATAATAATTGTAAGTTTATCTCAAAGAACAAACAAGAATAATTAGAGAAACTGTCAACAAAAGCAGTAGGAGAAGAGGAAGATTTAACCTAGAAAACATTAAACGCTTATGGAGTCTTTAATTAATGTAGTTTGATATTGCTGCACGGATGCACAAACCAATGGGAAAGACTAGAAAACTAATTGCATATGGTAATTTTGAATACTATAAAGACAGTATCTCATCAGTGAAAGGAAATGCATGTTTTAATGCTAAATACAGAAAAAGATAAAATTATATCCATTTCGCTGGGCATGGTGGCTCACACCTGTAATCCCAGCACGTTGGAAGGCCAAAGTGGGTGGATCATCTGAGGTCAGGACTTTGAGACCAGCCTGGCCAACATGGTGAAACCCTATCTCTACTAAAATTACAAAAAATTTAGCCGGGTATGGTGCTACTCGGGAGGCTGGCGCAGGAGAATCACTTGAACCTGGGAGGCGTACGTTGAAGTGAGCTGAGATCGCGCCACTGCACTCCAGCCTGGGCAAAAGAGTGAGACTCTGTCTCAAAAAAAAAAAAAAATTATATTCATTCCTTCCGCACACCAAGATAAATTTTAAATGGTTCAGAGATTTAAAATAATGTTAAAAAATGACTTCATACAAGTACAAATAGAATGCATGGGAATTTCTCTGTAACTTGGATGTAGGGAAGATTTCCTAATTGACTCAAAATTCATACACACCAAGGAAAAAGATGAATAACTTATTTTTTTTTAAACTGGCCTTTCATACAAACACTATGAGCAAAATGAAAAGCTGTGAGCAGCATTTTCAAATTATATTACAGATAAAGGGATTTTAAACCTAATTTCTAAGGAGCTTTTAAAAAGAAGGAAGAAGGTTGGCAATCTTAGAAAAATGGACTAGATGCAGCAGAAAAGAAAATGAAAGCAGAAAATTATGGAAAATAGTCAAACGGAATTATAAAGAGGAAAAAATGGAAATACAAGCTTTTTTTTTTTTTTTTTTTTTTTTTTTTAAAAGAGAGAATGATCTGCTACAATACAGGAGGCTGGTGATCTAGGCAGAGAAACCATAGACTTTAGAAGTCTTGCACAGCTAGAGAAATAAGACTGGATAATAGAAAGGCCAAGATCCTGCTGCGAAGGGAAAGACAGAAATGTGAGCCTAGTACTCGTCACAGTACATTGGCAAATTCTGAAGCTACAAAACACAGGAGACCAGAAAGCCAAGTAGAAAGCTGCAAAAAAACACTTGTAGGAGGCAAGTATTAGAGTTCAAGACACAGTATTGAGGAAAAGAGGCTTTTGATGACTATCCAGTGATTTCATTTGGAAAGTCTGGAGACTTGTGCCTTTTAAGAAGGGACAAAACTGAGGGTAAGTGAACTTTGTATCTAGGAATGGCAAGACCAGCAGGAAGATTACCATTGCCAACTATAGCCTTTACACAATGGCATAGCAGCCCAAATTCAGTCAGTTATGGAATTAAGTTTATTGTCTACTTGCCAAGCTAAAGAAAGTGTGAGTGCTCTCTTTAGAAGATAACATCATATGGAGCCTCTACAATTTTTTAGACACAATGTCAAGCCTTTAGTAAAATTATACTAGACATTCAAGAGATGGGACTGAAAACCAAGAGACAGTGCAGACAATAGAAATATGCCCACAGATGATCCAGGAAGTGGAGTTAAGACCAGGACTTGAAATAACAATGATAATGTGTTCAAGAAAATAGAAGACAAGGAGAAAATAAATAAAAGGGAAATTTTCCCCCAGAGAATTGAAACTTGTGGGGAATAAAAATAATCAAATGGATATTCTAGAACTGAGAATTGCAATAACTGAAATTAAGAACTCAATTAAGGGGTATAAAATTAAATTAGACAATGGAGAGCCCAGACATAAACCCTCATATATGTAGTCAAATGGTTTTCCACAAGGGTGCCAAGTGGTGTTAGGAAAACGGTACATTCAAATGCAAAAGAATGAAGTTGGACCCTTACATTATACCGTATGCAAAAGTAAATTCAAAATTATCCAACAACCTAAATATATAAGACCTAAAACTATACAACTCTTGGAAGAAAGCATAGGAAAAAAGCATTAGACATCATTTGTTTTTATTGGCTATGACACCAAAACATAAGCAACAAATATAAAAATAGACCAATTGAACTACATTAAAATTTTAAAACTTCTGGGCATCAGAGGACACAATTAACAGAGTAAAAAGACAGCCTGCAGACTGGGAGAAAATATTTGCAAGTCATGCATCTAATAAGGGGTTAATATCCAAATTATATAAACAACTTGTACAACTTAAAAACAAAATAACCCAATTAAAAAATATGCAAAGGACATGAATAGTCATTTCTCCAAAGATTGTATGCAAACAGCCAACAGACATATGCAAATATGCTCAGTACCACAAATCATCAGGAAAATGCAAATTAAACCACAATGAAGTCTCACATCACACCAATCAGGATGGCCACTATTTAAAAAATTAACAAGCATTGGCAAGGATGTAGAAATTGAAACACCTGTGCACTGTTGGTGGGAATATAAAATGATGCAGCTGGCTTTGCAAACACTGCTGCCCCCAAGACCCCCTTCTACTACCCCCTGCCATGGTCATCCCCAGTGTGTCCTTCAATATCACCATCAACAGCAAGCCCTTGGGACACATCTCCTTTCAGCTATTTGCAGATAAAGTTCCAAAGACAGAAGACAACTTTCACTCTGAATAATAAAGACAAAGGATTTGGTTATAAAGATTCTTGCTTTCACAGAATTATTCCAGGGTTTATATGCCAGGGTGATGACTTCACACACCATAATGGCATTGGTGGCAAGTCCATCTACGGGGATAAATTTGATGATACGAACTTTATCATGAAGCACACAGGTCTTGGCATCTTGTCCATGGCAAATGCTGGACCCAAAACAAATGGTTCTCAGTTTTTCATCTGCGCTGCCATGGCCGTGTGGTTGGATGGCAAGCATGTGATCTTTGGCAAGGTGAAAGAAGGCATGAATATTGTGGAAGCCATGGAATGCTTTGGGTCCAGGAATGGCAAGACAAGCAAGATAGTCATTGCCAACTGCAGACAACTGTAATAAATTTGACTTGTGTTTTGTCTTAACCACCAGACCTTTCCTTTCGTAGCTCAGGCAAGCACCATTCCACCCCATTTGCTCACAGTGTCATATAATCTTCATGGTCTCACTGCAGTTCTTTGAGTTCTGTATTTTCATTATCTCCCTCCACATATAGCTGGATTGCAGAGTTTAAGTTTATGATTGTGAAGTAAAAACTAAATAACAACAACCAAAAAAAAGATGCAGCTACTATGGAAAACAGTATCACAGTTTCTCAAATAATTAAACATTGAATTACCATATAATTCAGCAATTCCACTACTGGATAGATATCCAAAAGAATCGAAGGCAGGGTTCCAAAGAAATATTTGCACATTCGTGTTCATAGCCATGCTATTTACAGTCACCAAGAGGTGGAAGCCATCTGTGTGCCCATCCAAAGATGAGTGGATAAACAAAATGTGGGATATACATACTCTGACTACAGGCTTAAAAAGGAAGGAAATTCCAACACATTCTGCAACATGGATGAATCTTAAGGAATTATAGTAAATGAAATAAGCCAGGCACAAAAAGGCAAATACTGAATGATTCCACTTATATGAGGTATCTAGAGTAGTCATATTCATAGAGACAGAAATTAGAATAATTGTTGCCACCAACTGGGGGGATTTGGGGTGTGAAAAGTTGTTTAATGGGTGTTGAGTTCCTGTTCTGCAGATAAAAAAGTTCTGAAGGTTGGTTGCATGATGTGAATATAGTAAACACTACCGAACTATTACTTACAATGGTTAAGATGATAAATTTTATGAGTTTTCACTACAATAAAAAGTAGAACAGTAGAACAGATGATTAGTCACAGCAGAAAAGAAGAAAAATAAGTCAAACAGATGATTAGAAAATATCCAAACTGAAGCATGAAGAAAAATATTTTTAGTAGAAAATATCCAAACTGATATATAAAGACATAAAGGAATTTGTGGAGACAGAGGAGAGATAAGGGAATAAAAGACATGTGGGACACATTAAGAAAAAAAAAAAATCTGCCAGGTGTGCTGGCTCAAGCCTGTAATCCCAGCACTTTGGGAGGCCAAGGCGAGTGGATCACAAGGTCAAGAGATTGAGACCATCCTGGTCAACATGGTGAAACCCCATCTCTACTAAAAATACAAAACATTAGCTGGGCATGGTGGCGCATGCCTGTAATCCCAGCTACTCAGGAGGCTGAGGCAGGAGAATTGCCTGAACCCAGGAAACGGAGGTTGCAGTGAGCCGAGATCGCGCCATTGCACTCCAGCCTGGGTAACAAGAGTGAAACTCCGTCTCAAAAAAAAAAAAAAAAAAAAAAATCCAACCTACAGAATCCCAGAAGAGGAGAGACAACAGGGCAGGAGCAATGTTTGAAGAGATAATGGGCTCAGAATTTCCTAAAAATTACAAAAGACATTATTCCACAGAATCAAGAAAGTGTGTGATCCACAGATATAAATACAAAGAAGCCTTACTAGAACATCGTAGCAAATTGCTGAAAACAAAACACAGAGAATACAATCTTAAAAGATAGAAGGAAAAAAGTCACTTTTAAATGTACAAGACCGACAGCTGACTTCTCAGCAGGAGCAATGGAACCAGAAGACAACACACTGATGTTTCAATTGCTGGAAGAAACAGCACCAACCTATGCCTTTGTACCCTGCAAATATCCTTTAAAAATGAAGCAAACGAAGTAATCATTGTGTGTGTTATGGGCAAAATGTTAGACCAATAGAACAGTGGAACAGAAGAGAGAGACCAAGAATAAACACTTCAATGTATGGTTAGATGATTTTCTCAAAAGGCTCAACAGCATTTGAATGAAGAAAGTAAAATCTCTGTAATAAATATGGCTGGAAAACATGGATATGCATATAGAAGAAGAAACATAACCCATACTTCACATCATTCACAAAAATCAAATTAAGATAAATTATAGACATAAAAGTAAAGCTAAAGCAGTAAAGCTACCAGAGCAAAACATAAGATATTCTTTTCAAGTTCTTGGTGTAGGCAAAGACTTCTTAGAAAGCATGAACTATACAAGAAAAAAAAATTGATAAATTGGACTTCATTAAAATTTCTCAGCTAGGTATGGTTGCTCAGTCTAATCCCAGCACTTTGGGAGGCTGAGACAGAAGGATTATTTGAAGGCAGGCGTTCAAGACCAACCAGGGCAACATAGCAAGACTCCATCTTTATAAAAAAAATTTAAAAATTGGCCAGCAACTCCTGTAGTCCTAGCTATTCAGGAGGCTGAGGTTGGAGGATTGCTTGATCTCAGGACTTTGAGAGTGTAATGAGCTATGATTGGGCATTGCACTCCAGCTTAAAAAAAAAGTTTCTCTTCAATAGACCCTTAAGAAAATAGACATAGACTTAGAGAAAATATTCACAATACATATAGCTGACATAGAACTTGGATTCAAAATATATAAAGAAGTCATACAATTTAGTAATTTTTAAAAAGACAATGCAGTTTTTTAAAGGAGAGTTTTGTGAATAGACATTTCACAAAACATGGTATATACTATGTCTAGTAATTACATTTTTAAAGTGCCCAATATATTAGTCATCTAGAAATGAAAAAATCCCAATGAAATACCACTTCCATACCCTCTAGAAGGGCTACAGTGAAAAGGACTGATAATGACAAATGTTGGAGAGGATGTGGAGCAACTGGAACCCTCATATGTTGCTAGTGGGAGTAGAAAATATGATTATTTTGGAAAACAGTTTGTCAGATTATTAAAGAATTATACACACATGGCCCAGTAATTTTACAGCTAGATATTTATCAAAGCGACATGAAAACATATGTCCACAAAAGACCTGGAAAAAAATATTTACAGCAGGTTTATTCATAATAGCCAATAAAACTGATAACAGTGAGGTACCGATCAAAAGAAGAATAGGTTAACAGTTATCTATTGAGACAGTGGATACTGTTCAGCAAAACCCAACATCCACAATATTGATGAATCCCAATATTATTCTCACAAAAGAAGTTGGTCACAAAAAAAATGCATAGTTAATGATTCTAACTATTTGAAATTCTAGAATAGGGAAAACTGACATAGGAATAGAAATCAGATCAGTGATTACTTCGTGGGGGAAGGTGTTGACTGGGATACAGCATGAAAGAACTTTCTGGAGTGTTGGATATTTCTATGGCTTTGTTACTTAATTGTCAAAAGTGAATGTTACACTTAGGATCTGAGCATTTGTTAATGTAAGTTATACCTCACTTTTTAAAAATGAAAGTTAAAGATTTTAGATCACTAAAAGCTGAAAGATGTGTGTTACCAACAGATTGTACTAAAAAATCACTGAAGGGTTTTTTCAGACAGAAGGAAAATTATCCCACATGGAGGCTCAGAAATATAAGAAAGAGCAAAAAAACACAGAAAGGGTAAATATTGGAGGAGACAGAGAAATGAGGATGGCTGTACAACCTAAGGACAGTAACATCTTCTGAAGTAAAAATGTATTATAACAATAATAAAACAATAAAAGGCAGAAGGGAACTGAAATAAAAATGAAATAACAACAATAATAAAACAGTAAAAGGCAGAAGGGAACGGCACTGACCACGTTCGATAGTCCTAGAGCCAGCTGGACATTTTATGTTCATGCCGCTGCAGCAGAGTCAGGGGTATACCTCCAGAGTGAGCCCTCACATAGCTCGCACCATAGGCCGGGGGCCCTTCTCTGCCTACCCACCTTCTCTGCCAAGTGTCAGTTCAGGTAGAAGGGAACAAATCAAATTATTAATTGTGGCAACTACCCTAACTTAGATACCCTAGGTTCCAAAGCAGAATCAATATCTTTTGTAATAGCCCCAGGGGCATAGAGTCCTGGAGAGGGACTGGCTGGCTACAAGAACCCTGACACTTGGAAACTCAAAGCTGTAGCTTTTTATCAGGTATTTGTAGTTTATTTACAGTCGTCCCAGTCCAGATAGGTTTACCAACTAGTGTTTTTTGTGTGTTTTTGTTTTGTTTTGTTTTTTGTTTTTTTACCATATGTTATCTGTGACAGATATTAGATATTTAGGGAAATAAAGCTACAAGTTTAATCCAACATGGTTTTCCATTTTAGGTTCACAGACTGACTTCCACAACCTTGAGTTAGTAACTTTAGTCTGACTTTAGGGTAGATAAGAATTACCTGGAGGCCTTGTTAAAACACAGATTGTTGGTCCCCTGTGACTTACTTCCTAACTCAGTAGCTCTAGGGTGAGGCTTGAGAATTTACATATCCAGTAAGTTCCCAGGTGATACTGGGTGATACGGCTGACCCGAGGACCGCACATTGAAACCAATGCCTTATTCAGTAACAGTGGTAACAAAGTAAAAGTACCCCTTTCCTGTTTACTGTTCACAAAAGGATCCTCATATTCTCTTAGCTTCAACTTTTAAAATACTAGTCATTATTTATTATTTCTTCAAAAACCCATCTCTAATTGTCTCCTTAGGGAGTTTTTGAGTTTGTGTTGACATTGTCACTGTCAGCAGATGGCTTTGACCAGATTCCATTTTAGGGTTAAGTCCGTCTGCGTTATCAGAATCCTCAGGGTGCAGCTTCGAGGGCTCCCTCAGTGGCCGTAGACTTGCACCAAGCTGCTGCCATGGCCACTGCGCCAGTTTGTATGCCAGATTACCACATAGTCTATGTAACCGTGTGGGCTGCTGCAGAGTAGTTCTGTCCTCCACCTCCTCAGGTAGCGGCTCATGGACATTACCCCATGCTGATTGGATGAGCAGGCAACTCAGCGTGGTCAGAGCTAGCCGGCTGCTCCACCCACTTTGTCCTATCATAGACCCAGTCACAGACATAAACTCTCAAGCCCACGTGCTTGTCTCCTTCCCACCGCCCCACCAGGAAACAATGCCTAGTTTGGCCTAAATGCATCAGCTGCACCAAGGCAAAATCATTTTTGCCAACCAGCCCAGGGGCAGCTGGGTTTCTGGTCAAGTCCATTT